ACGAACGCACTAGATCTAGCGTATTCTAGAATGTTCTAGTGACTGGAACGTTCTAGAGTATGCTGGAATCGGACCATCGGGAAGAATCTAGAAACGACGCTTGCGAAGAGTATATAAGCGCACGTCGCAAGATATTTGTGATTGGTGATATTCGTGATTGGGATATTCGTGATTAGTGATATTCGTGATTAGTGATATTCGTGATTAGTGATATTCGTGATTAGTGAAATTCGTGATTTTGTGAATAGCGATTCGGTGAATTATTTAAAGCGATATTTGAATTGTTTGTTGACGTTGTCATAGCGATAGATTTTGAAAGATTTAAAAGTTAATTGTTGCGTTAGTGCGAATTTACTGGAAATAAACGATTAGTTGATTTCTTCTGTAAATAAAGTTTAATAACTAATAATAGTTGATTTCGTCTGTAAATAAAGTTTAATAACTAATAATAGTTGATTTCTTCTGTAAATAAAGTTTAATAACTGTTTGGAGTATTTTATTCAATCGAAGATTTGAACCCGTCGCATCGTAAACCGGTTACGACAGCGAGTATTATAACAATATGTAAGTCACTGGCGCAGTGAAGACCAGTAGACATAAAACAAATAATCAAATTAAATCGATAATTGTAGCCCACGTGGAATGTTAGACTGATATTATACTACGATATTTCCTCCATTATAAACACTCATTATATTTTTAGAGGGAATCAACAAATGGCCAAAATTCCACAACCCACGACAATGAATCTTAACACGGCGTGAAACTGTTTATAAGAAACTCATTGAACGACGAAGTTAATAATTTCATGTTTAAAGTTAGTAAAAAAACTACTTTGAATATATTATAAAATTCATAAAAAAAAACATTCAAACCTCGTGAAAGGAGATAAATCTGCCATTATTAGCATAGTGATTCCTTTTTGGCGCAAGAATTTGCTTTCCGATGAGACGGTCGTACTTTCATCTTTCGTTGTGCAAAGGTCCAACTGATTTCAGTCAGCAAAACTTATTTAAACTTATCGTTTTTATATTGGATGTAGAAGTTCAGAAAATATCTGAAAATAAAAATAACTTAAAACACAAACATTGTTTTCGATGAAGTGATCGGAATGAACGTATGAAAAAAGTCTGGTGTCTTTTTTCCCTGAATTTTCTTTTTGCAGCCTAAAAAAAGAATTCAGATAAAAATTCCATTACCTGTTATAATAATCATTGCTTACGTCGATAAACGATGATAATTCAGCTTATAATCCCCAGAGTCGTTGTTTAGGTTATGGTATGTTTCTAATTCTCTCTGAAAAATTTTGTTACACATAACAAATATTGGTATGGAAATAATTAATCAAATCCACAAAAGCAAACATTAATAATTAAACTTGTTGATAACAAGGACTGAACCAAATTTGAATCTTGCAAAAGATATATAAATAATTATATATAATATATATATATATATATATATATATATATATATATATATATATATATCAATCAATCATCGTTTAGCGTCCAGAGACCCAGTTCTCCCGAGGTACGACGTTGTTTCCTTTGCCATCAATCTTCTGAGCCAAATTTGGCGATCAGTTGTATCCATTTTATTTAAATTTAGAGCTTTCATGTCTTGCTCGATTGTTTGCGACCAGGACTTCTTTAGATGGCCTTTGGGACGTGTGCCAGGTACTTCAATATCTGCAAGAGAAGTTATGGCACTGTTTCCACTTCGTTTGACATGACCAAACCACCGCAGACGGTGTTGCCGGCATTCGTCCATTATATCATGTCAACCAGCACGACGCAGGATTTCGGTAGATTCGATGTGGTCCTTCAAACTAATTCGTTGCATCCATCGAGGCATTTTCATGTCGGTTTGTTTAAGTTGTTGCTCCAGTTTGGTTGTCATTGGCCTGTTTCTGCACCATATAACAACACCGGACGTATCACAGATTTATAGAGTCTTGATCGTAGTGGTAGTGGGATGTCACGCCGCGTCAATATAGAAGCAAGTCTTGATCGTATTGGTAGTAGGATGTCACACCGCATCAATATAGAGGCAAGGAGATGCCATTTATTCCAGGCTGCACGTATGCGTGCTCGAACGGCAGCTTCAGCTGTTCCAGTACAATCCAGAACATCCCCTAGATATTGAAACGATGTGACTTTCTCTACCTTGATGGCTTCAAAAACATTGCTATTTCGAATTTGTTGTTGTGGATTGATGCAAGCAGGACTAACAAAATTGGACTTTTTAGATAAAGTACCAATTATTTTTTAACAACGATTGAAACACTACTGGTTACACTGCTGACACTTGATTGAATTGTTACCTACACCAGCTTCACAAACTGAACAGGCCCATCGTCCGGTAGCTGTGGATTGGATGGGTTCACCAGTGTTCATTGCTTTGGTTTTGCTGATGTTGACTTTGAATCCATGATCGGCGAGTCTGGTGTTCCAATCTTCAAACATCTGTGCAGCATTCTGCTCAGACGTGGCTGTTAAAACAATATCAATCAATCAATCTTCGTATTGCGTCCAGAGACCTGGTTCCTCGAGGTAGGACGTTGTTTTCTTTGCCATCAACTGTTTGCGTCAAATTAGACGATCAGTTGTATCCATTTCATTTAAATTTAGAGCTTTCATGTCTTGCTCGATTGTTTGCGACCAGGACTTCTTTGGACGGCCTTTGGGACGTGTGCCAGGTACTTCAACATCTGCAAGAAAAGTTATGGCACTGTTTCCACTTCGTTTGACATGACAAAACCAATGCCGGCATTCGTCCTTTATATCATCTAAACCAGCACGACTCCTTTATTTAATTTAAAACAAATGTTCTTTTTGATTTAAAACCAGAAGCTTTTAACATTTCGACAATAAATAACGCCAGTGGATATTTTTTGCTCTTTCTCACGTTCTCAAAATATAAAACATATTTATATGCAGCCAGCATCATATTTTAACTGATATTTCAAACCGGGTCCAACAACGTGACATCTACTGCAAGCCTCCTCTCTTACTTCAACATTGCTACATCTTTTTTTAATATAATTAGTTACGTTGTTTTCATCATTTATTACAAATCCACTTATGCATTTCGGTTGACACAGTAAAGCAGCAATCGCCGGTACCAAAATGGAAATGAGAAAAATATAAGTACTGTAAACAAAACAGTCGGTAAAAATTCTTGGTATTTGCGGTGAATGAATTCTTGGTTCGAATGCGACTGGTGTGATACTTTCAGGATCTATCAACTATCATGTTATTGGGACTTATTTGCATGCATCGAGTTCAAACGTCTGCAGTCAGCCCTAATTAAGCAGATGTGCGTTTGAAAAACGAAAGAGCAGTTGAGGTAAAAGAGCAAACTTAAAAATTAGTCAAACACTTGTTTGGTAAAAACATGAATACTAAAAATATAATTTAGTCGCCAAATCATTAGAACAATTAATTTTTGTAATAATAGTGAAATAGGCATATTGAAACATAACAACGGAATGTTTTATTGTTTTATACATCAATATCAATTAATTAAATTATTATTTCAGAAAATTAAATTAAACACACTTGACAAAATACTCTTTCTTGCCAATTAAAAGTGTATTGCTCCTCAAAATTATTCACATCGAAATTTTTGTCATTCAAAGCATCTTTGTCCAAATCAAAAATCTTCAAACTTGTTTCAATTTTTCCAATGGAAACCCTGGTTTTCATAACAAAGAATAAAAAAATGATTACTTTAAAATAATTAAATGTAGAGCCATTAATATGTAGAAAAAAAAAATACACAATTAAGCAAAAGTTTGAAATAAAAACAGACAGCAAAATTGCTCTGATGTCTTGCATTGTTATAGCGCATTGACCTGAATCCAATGCTTTCACTGCTGAAAACTTATAATCTTTCAAACGCCTCGTGCACATTGGTTTAGTGTTTGTGCATAGAAATAATTCCGCATAAATACGGGTTGTCTGCATTTGATTCCAGCGCACTTGATCCCGTTACATTTGCTCCACTACATTTGGTCCTGCTACATTTGGTCTCGCTATATTTGCTCCTGCTACATTTGGTCCGGCTACATTTGGTCCCGCTACGTTTGATCTCGCTACATTTGCTCCCGCTACATTACCTCCAGCTACATTTGCTCCCGCTACATTCGCTCCCTATACATTTGGTCTCACTACCTTTGATCCAGCTGCACTTGATCCTCCTAAATTTTGTCCTGCTATATTTAGGTTTTTGATCTTATTTGGTTTCCGAATCATTTCCTTTATTTTGTTTAGTTGAAATAAAATTGAATAAAATTGTATATTTAATCTCATTATATTTTGTCCCACTACATTTGCTTCCGATACATTTTGTCCCAGCCACATTTGGTCTCATTACAATTGATGCCGCTACATTTTGTCCCGTTATATTTGATCCCGCTACATTTAGTCCCGAAACATTTTGTCCCGCTTCATTTGATCCCGTTACATTTGATCCCACTACATTTGATCCCGCTATATTCGATCACGCTACATTTAATCCTGCTACATTTGGTGCCACTAAATTTAGTCCCGCTACATTTGGTAACGCTTTATTATGTTCAGCTACAATTTTTTCCGCTACATTTGATCCAGCCGCACAAGTGTAGCGGTATCTACATTTTGTCGCGCTACATTTGTTTCCAATTATTTCCTAAGAATATATCAGATATAGTAATTAAGGTTAAACTCTGGAACTCGTTGGAACTCTTTACCTCTTTCTCCATCACTTATGAAATTCAAAGCGGATCTCAAGACCCATCTGTTTGTTAAATTCATTATGGCGAGCTGAGCGAA